GCCCCATTAGAACTGATTCAAATGTGTTCCTTTTTATGGCTGAGTAATATTCTATTGTGTATATATACAACTTCTTTATCCATTCATCTGTCAATGGACGTCCAGGTTTCTTCCATGTCTTAGCAATATAGTGCTACAATGAACATTGGGGTACATGTGTCTTTTTCAGTTATGGTTTCCTCAGAGCATATACCCAGTAGTGGGATTGTTAGGTCATATGGTAGTTTTATTCCTAGTTTGTTTTCTTTTCTTTTTTTTTTTTTTTTTAGGGATATCCATAGTGTTATCCATAGTAGCTATTATCAATCTGCATTCCCACCAACAATGCAAGAAAGTTCCCCAAACATTGTCTTTTATTGAGAAACAAAATCTTTTTGGATACACAGCCACCTTATTTATCTATTTTTTGATTGTGTTGGCTGGAAGAAGTTTAAAAGCAACTCTTCTTAAGATTTTTGCAACTTTCATTTTCATGACACTTTACTTTGAGTGCTATTCTCTCAAATCATCCCACCCTCACCTTCTCCCACAGAGTCAAATAGTCTATTCTGTGTCTCTTTGCTGTCTCACATATAGGGTCATCGTTACCATTTTTCTAAATTCCATATATATGTGTTAATATACTATATTGGTGTTTTTCTTTCTGACTTACTTCGCTCTGTATAATAGGCTCCAGTTTCATCCACCTCATTAGAACTGATTCAAATGCATTCTTTTTAATGGCTGAGTAATATTCCATTGTGTATATGTACCACCACAGCTTTCTTATCCATTTGTCTGCTGATGGACATCTAGGCTGCTTCCATGTCCTGGCTATTGTAAACAGTGCTGCGATGAACATTGGGGTGCACGTGTCTCTTTCAATTCTGGTTTCCTCGGTGTGTATGCCCAGCAGTGGGATTGCTGGGTCATGTGACAGTTCTATTTCCAGTTTTTTAAGGAATCTCCACACTGTTCTCCATAGTGACTGTATGAGTTTGCATTCCCACCAACAGTGTAAGAGGGTTCCCTTTTCTCCGCACCCTCTCCAGCATTTACTGTTCGTAGACTTTTTGATGGCAGCCACTCTGACCGGCGTGAGATGCTACCTCATTGTCCACCAACACTTTTTAAGGGCTCTGATCCTCTGCTGCCTGTATTTTTTTCACATGTATAATGGCCATTGGTTTCTAACAGTTGTAGTCAGTATCTGTTCCTAATGCTATATATAAGCTCATCCACCAAACTTATTTAATATGGCCACACACTTTTTATATGCATAATTTTAAATTCTTACAACTCCCCTGCAAGACAGATGTTATTGTCCACATTTTACAGAGGAGAGAACTGAGGTTCAGAGAAGCAGCTGAGACAGAGGTGGCTCTGCTGCAAAGCCCATGTTCTTTTCACTACTCTTGGCCTCTCAATAAAAAGGCCTAAGTGAAATAGAATCTTTAGGGACTTCCCTTGTGGTCCATGGTTAAGAATGCATGTTTCCACCGCAGGGGTGTGGGTTTGATCCCTGGTGGGGAAACCAAGATCCTACATGGGTGTGGCCAAAGGAAAAAGAAAATGAATTTTTAAAATGTTGAATAATCTGTATTTCTTTTAATATCTCAACTCCTACCCCATTAATCAAGGGCCTGAGCTTTGATTCTATCACAAAAATTGTGCTATTCTCTGTTTAGTGAGACAGAAGTGGGAGGGGAAAAATGTATTCGAATAATGATGCTTGTGTGTGTGCAGGGAAATGTGAAGTTTCTGCCGCCTGATGCTTTTCTTCATGGTCTGTTCTCACAGACTTTCTTAAGAACTCAAGTCCCTGGGTCCCTCCAAAATACCAGAAAGGATACTCGTTGCCCTATCTGGAAGGATCCAAACAAATAACTGACCACCCAAAAATCTCTGTGGATGGCCAAAGAAACTTGCTAGCAATAGGAACTGGTGATTGATGGGCAAAAAGCCATGAACTGCCAGCATCAGGGGAATGGCTACCCATGCCAGTATTCTTGCCTGGAGAATCCCACGGACAGAGGAGCCTGCTGGGCTATAGTCCATGGGCTTGCAAAGACACAACTGAGTGTCTTTCACTCACTCAATACTAAACTATAGTGAACATTAAAAAAAAATTCTTATTTTGTATTGGGATATAGCTGATTAACAATGTTGTGATAGTTTTAGCTGAACATCAAAGGGACTCAGCCATAACATATAGCTGTATCCATTCTCCCCCAAACTCCTTCCCATCCAGGCTGCCATTTATCATTGAGCAGAGTTCCCTGTGCTATATAGTAGGTCCTTGTTGGTTATCCATTTAAAATATAACAGAGTGTCATGGTGAACATTTTTGACCAATTATAGGTCTATCCATGGGACCTCCTGATGTCCCAGTGGTTAAAACTCGTGCTCCCACTGTAGGGGGCATGGGTTTGATCCCTGGTCAAGGGTCCAAGACCTCATATGCTAGAAATTAAAAAATAAATAAATAAAAAATTTTAAATTATTTAAAATTTTAAAAAATTTAATTTAATCACTACCCACAGTGAGAACTAAGGCTCTTTTGCTTTAGTGTGTGATTCCATAGCTCATCCTCTCCCTCCTGATTTCCTTTAGATACCACTACTCACACCCTGCTGGTTTTGAGCAGGTATCGGGCCAGATAACAGGAAGGTGAACCAAAGGTAGGAAGCTTGTGTAGGTGAGTGAAAGGAATATCCTCTTTCGTCACTCCCCTAAGCAAGGAAGCAAGGAGATGACTGTCAGCTCCCCCACGGGAGCAAGGGAGGAACATGACCCAGTGGGGTCGGAGCGTCCTCACTGTCGTCCTGGCCCCTTGAACAGGGATCTCAGGTTGAATTCACAGGAAGGAAGGAGGACAAGACAAAGACTGTCTCAGGACTGGCCCTGCTCCCAGCAGCTCAGGAGCCATGCCCCCGACAGGAGATAGTCCTGTGCCTCTCTGAGGGTTCCAGCCACAGACGAGAGTGATCTCCCAAGGGACAAAAACACATCTTCTCCAGAGGGGCACGTAAAATGAGTGGTAATGAGTCTTATTCCTTGGCTTCGCTCTGTCTGAAATGGAAAGCTAGCGATCCCACACTGCTGAGGTCTGGATAGCACCCCTGGAGGCCTGTGTGTGTGCTAAGTCGCTTCAGTCATGTCCAACTCTTTGCGACACCACGGACTGTAGCCCACCAAGCTCCTCTGTCCGTGGGATTCTCCAGGCATGAATACTGGAATGGGTTGCCAAGCCCTCCTCCAGGGGATTTTCCCGATCCAGGGATTAAACCCAGGTCTCTAATGTCTCCTGCATTGGCAGGCAGTTTCTTTACCACTAGCGCCACCTGGGAAGCCCTCTGGAGGCCTGGTGGTCAGTTCCTTCCTTCCCCTGCTGACATCCACGTACTCCTCCCGTGTAGCATCAAGTGAGCTCAGCTGCTTCCTTGGCTGCTTTGTATCCAACTTTATCCTTCCCTCTAGTCCCTGGGACACGAGCAGCTGTCTTCCTGGTGATATCAGCTCATTATTCCAGTGTCTTTTCCACCCTTAATCTGCCTTCTCTCAGGCCCAATGTCTTTTGGGTGTTACTGACCTCAGAGCTGTCCGTTATGCATTCTAGGGAAGCAGGTGTCTCCTGGGGTTGTCCCAGGCAAACCAGCATATGTGGTCAGCCTTGCCAGATGGATCATGCCCACCTCACTGACTTGTAAGAATGAATGGAATGAATGTACATCTGGGCACTGTGTATGGTATAATTTAAGGGCTGAGTTAGCTCCTGGGAGCTGAGCTCTTCCTCAGGTGTCTCAGCTCCATACCTTACACACCCTAGCAGGCTCCTTCCTGTTCGCTCTCTCCTTTCATTTCTGGTCCCCCACCTCCTGCGCTCTGCTTGTTGGCATCTCCATCTCTGACGCTAGATACTGGCTCCCAGAGTTCCTGGTGTTAAGGGAGGGTTTTGCAACTCTTTTTGCCTGATTCCAGGACTGGTAAGGGCCAAGCCCACTCTCCTGGGTCCGATCCTGTCTGGTGTAGCCCTTACGGCAAGTCTCTGACCTTGAACTTTGGGCCTGGGCACTCCTAGGAGTGAGGGTCAGGGTGGGGTTAGAGCTGAAATCTATTTGCACAGGGACGTTCCTACCTAGTTTACGTCCTAATAACAATTTTATTCTCCAGGCCAGGCTTCCCTCTCCACCCCGCTATAGTTCACCCTTGGTTTCACAGCCAACGATCTCACAATAACTCCTTTTTTATAGGTGGAAACATGCCCCGGAACTCGTTCAGGCTAGAAGTGTGCAGAATTCTGTGCCTCTGAGGGGCCCTTCACTGTTGCATGGCTGCGGGCGTGCAGACGGGAGAGCAGGGGTGGCCACGACCCTGTCACCGTGGGGAGTAGAGTGGTGGTGGGGAGGATCAGAGGGTCCTGTCTGGCTCAGCGCACAGGCTGGAATCTGAATGGGACAGCAAGTCCCTTCTGGGACCTGGGAAGTATGTTTGGGGCCAGGGGGCGCTCGCACTCAGATCGCGGTCCTGTAGGGGGGTGCCGCGGGGTGTAAGTCCTGGCCCTCCAGCCGGCCTCAGTTTCCCCGGCCGTGTCGGGGTCACTAGTAACCAGGGTAGGAAGGCGCGGCAGGAGCCGCTGCGGGCAGACAGAAGGTCGCTCAGAGCCGGCTGCATGTGTGATCGCAGCTTTCGCTTCCCGCAGGGAAGTGAGCCGGCAAGTTCGGGCTGAAGGGCCCACAGAGGCGCGGAGCGCCGCGAGTCCACGGCCCGAGGCGAAGCACGGGAAATTCGCGTGCGAGCGGACGGACCAGAGGATGGGCAGGCCGCGTGCGCCCTGCACTGCGACCGCCGGCCCCGAGGGCGGTCAGGTGCAAGGGGGCGGGGGCTAAAGGCCACGGGTTGCCGGGTCGGGGCGGGCCGGCCGGCGGGGCATTTAAACCCCGGGGATTGTCAGCTCGGGACGCGTGCCCAGCTCCGCGTCCTCCTCCGCTCCGACTTCGCTTCGGGTACCGCCGGGCACGATGAGGTCCTCTCTGGCGCCCGGCATCTGGTTCCTCCGCGCCTTCTCCAGGGACAGCAAGTGAGCGGGGCTGGGGCGTCGGGGCACGGGGAGCGCCGGGCCCGGCGGCTTCGCTACTGAGACCCGACTCCGGGAGTCCCAGGGCGCTTGTCGGGGTGAGGGTGGGGGGTTCTGGTAGGATCTGGCCGGCGGTCGGCGGGGAGGTGAGGTGGCACGTGCTCACCCCGCCTCTCCCGAACCCCTCCCTGGGACGCTGCCCAGGAGCGTCTCCGCCTTGTCCTTTCGCATCCTCACCTCCGCGCACACACACTCCCCCCTGGGGGAGACCCGACTCAGAGCGCCTCCTTTATCACCCGGGGGACCCCTGGTTTGTAGACTAGGGAACCGAGGTCAGGGCGTGGCAGCTGCTGCTACGAGAAAGTGGCCATTGGCGTTGCCGAGTGTCCCATTTGGTCTCTTTTAGCCCTTGGATAGCTCCAAGAGCAGAACCTAGTGGTCCTGGAAGCTTGCCTTGAGCAGCTTCCGGCCCTGAGGAACAGGGGAGGACACACCTCTCAGATCAGGGGCCAGCTGCTTCTCAACTGGCTGGTCACCCCAGCAGCCAGCCAGCGACTTGCTCCTGACCAAGGAAGCTTGAGGAGGCCACTGGACCATCAGGTGTGTGGTGGGCTGGAGAGTTTTCAACCCACTCTTCATCAGAGGCCACACAATGAAACACTTGGCTTGGTCTACACCGTGTCTTTGTTTCCTTTTGTTTCACTTTGTGTTAGTTGTCATCGCTTGCAAATGATAAACTTAACGTTAATAGCCAGATTCCTCCTTCCTCTGATCTAGTAATATCAGGCCTAAATTCTAAAATTTTATCATTAGGAGTATTATCATCACCCTTTAGATGGGGTGCAAGCTCTTAGTAGGACCCAGCTTTGTTTTAAAACAAAATCCTGCACCCCAAAGCCCCTCAGTCCTAGGCAAATCAGGATGGTCACCTGAAGCACTTTCTAATTGGTGACAGCCCTCGTTGGGGACCTTCCTCATCACTGCCAGCCTTCCTCACTCATTTATTTATTTGGTATTTTTTCAGAAAAAAGTCAGGTGACTCTTGTAAGGATATAAAAATGAATATGTGTTAAAAAGATTTTATTTCACTGGTGATGAGGGTGCCGGAAGATGGTATAATTGGCACAAAAGAAAACCCAGGGAGGGGAGAATGGGGAGTTGCTGTTTAATAGGTACAGAGTTTCAGTTTAGGGAGATGAGAAGGTTCTGGAGATGAAGGATGAGGGTTGCACAAGAATATGAAGGTACTAAATGCCACTGAACTGTGCACTTAAAAATAGTTAAATTTTATGTGACAGACGTTTTACCACAATTTTAAAAAGAGTACAAAGAAGGTGCCCATTTAAGTCAGGAATATTGAGGCAAAACTGGTTGAGAGGGCAGATTATTGAAACTCTATCAGTTCATGGACATATTTTATATGACTTACTTGTTACTTACCATTTGATGAAATTCAAGGTCAGGGAAAGGCATGAATTAGATAACTTGGAGGGGAGGGTTGTCCTCTAGGCAATGCACAGTTTCTCAGAGAAGCACACACACATTTTTTTTTTTCTGTCCTACAGTTTTCTCTGCTAGGATAAAAAAAATACCCTCAAAGAATGATTATTCTTGGTCACAAAATTAGGTTGGTCGTGTTAGGTTTGATCTGATTATCTGTATACATAATTTACTGTGTTAAGTTCCCTTGGCTGGAAGTTTTCATAAGGGTTCTGAGACTGGACTTTTAAAAGCCTTCTATTATTTACTGTTCTGAGATTAGGAAGCCAAGCCAAGAAATTGTCTCCACTAGGTTTTACCTGCTGTACCTATACATTTATTAATAGACAAATTCCCTTCTTCTTAAGGTCCCCAAAATATCCTAAGATTCCTGGGCCTGCCAGGGAGTGAAGTCCTGATTTGCCTGTAAGGGAAGACAGTAAACCAGTTTTCTTGGGAGGGTTTTGTATCAGCTGTCAATCTTAATTCCTTAAGAGTGGCATCAATATCTGATTAAATGAGTATCATTGTCAAATATAATATTCCAGGCAAGGCCTTGGTTGCAAAACCAAGTTTTCTAATTGTTGGTGTTCAGTCGCTAAGTCATGTCTGACTCTTTGCAAGCACATGGACTGTAGTCCCCCAGGCTCCTCTGTCCGGATTTCCCAGGCCAGAACTCTGGAGTGGATTGCCATTTCCTTCTCCAGAGGATCTTCCTGACCCAGAGATCAAACCCACGCCTCCTGCATTGGCAGGTGGATTCTTTACTGCTGAGACACCTGGTAAACCCGTTTTCAAATATGCTCTGGTAAAATAAAGAGGACAGATTCTTATTGAACTTTTGCAAATAACCATATTTTATAAAAAGCAAGGAGGCAATAAAAGTTTCTAAATTCTGGGGAGTCGGGTAGAGAGAATAAAGTATTTACAAATATTTCATTTTAGTTTACAAAAACAGAATCTCCTAAATTGTTACGGGTTACAGACATATTAAGAAGAAAGAAAAAAGAGCTTTCTTATATATTTAGAACACTGAACGCTATAATGTCACTGACATTCCAAATGTCAGTAACAATCATCCTTATCAGTTCATTCAGTTCTAAGTGATTAATTCTTATTCTGCTGAATCTTGGGTCAGCAACCTCATAAACCTGTCAGCTTCTTTACCTAAGTTTTGGAAATCCTGACTCAGTCCACAGGTATGTTCTTAAAGGTATCTGAATGATATCACCAAGAGTCTGTACCCACGGGTGTGTACCTGGTCCACTGATTTCGTGAGACAGTGCTCGGTTGTTAAAACCTTTGGCTTATAGATGGTTGCAGAGCCTTTAGGGAGCATCCAGAATAGAACAGAAACTATCTGTAAGGGTCAGGGATCTGAAAAGATATGGATTAATTTATTAATGATAATTTTCAAAAGTGAATGATCTGATGAGAAGTCATGATAAGAAAAATGCAGCTAACAGTGAAGTCTGGTTGTTCCTGAGGTATGTAACACACACGAAGCCAATCCAGAAAATATTAGACAGTGTCTAAAAACACACTTAAGGTTAATTTCAAAGAAGATGGTGAACATAATATCTGATTTTTAAGAATGGATAATTTTTATAGAGGAAAAATATCTCAAGATTTTTTATATCTCAGTATATATATTTTTATGTATTTAGAGATATATAGAAGTCCCAAGACATAATTTACATAATATGCCACGGGAATACCAAGAATGTCAACTTAGACTTAGTAAGTCCAGGTGACTTAGTGGTTAAGAATCTGCCTGCTAATGCAGAAGACATAGGTTTGATCCCTGGGTCGAAAAGATCTCCTGGAGGAGGAAATGGCAAAGCACTCCAATATTCTTGCTTGGAGAATTCCATGTACAGAGGAGTCTGGCTGGCTACAGTCCATGGGTTGCAAAGAGTCGGACACAACTGTGCATGAACATACACCAGCAAGTCCTAAACATCTATGTTTTAATAAAGCTCCATAGGAAAGTCTGATGTACCTCCCCAGTTGAAAGTCACTGACCTAGAAGATCCTAGACTCAAAATAAAGAAGTTGCAGTTTGGATAAGATTAGCTGAAGTCATGACCAGTAATAATATAGTCATCATCAGGCAAAACACACCAGGATACAGATCCGTAGAGACAGATCATGGACCAAGAGGGTGTTGAGAAGTCTATAGAAATTTCTCATGCAACAAACCATTTCTGAGATACTTATATAAATAATCATATTCTACTTCTCTTTTTTCTCTTAATAAACAAAAATACATCTCATTACTGTATATACAAATTTGTACCTCTCTGCTATTTATTGTTCCTAGTAGAGTCTTATTCATATATATTAACTATACCTTTTAACCAAAGGAACTTCTATTTCAGAGAAAATGAGGGGGCAGAGAGACTGGGTCATTGGAAGTAGCCTGTCCCACACCAGCATTTTAGAAGAGCTCAGAAACACACATAACTTTCTACAGCTGCACATGTCATTGAGACACTCCTTAAAGTGTGAATCCAACCACATCTCCCAGGTTTAAGACAGATCTGAATTGAAATCCTCTCACCACTGTGTGCTTTTGTATAGTCAACATCGCTGAGTGCCACCTACCCCTGCCCCCACATCAGTAAAAGTCAGGTGGGTTCCTGGGGGCAAAAGTGATCCATGAAGGTTCATGGCTGATGGAGAGCCCGCGGCAAGTGTTCCTTCACTTCTTTCTTGATGTGTGTAGGTTCGGACTCCTAACAAACACCCAACGTCATTGTAGTTCTTACTGTAGGCACAAGATTGTTTTGAACTCTCAGGCTTACAAAGATGATTAGGTCACAGTCCTACTTTCTCAGAATTAAGGATTAATCTGGAGGGAGGGAGTGTCCTCTCATTATCAAACTGGCTGCTTCCACACGTTCCCAGGGAGGACTTTTAAACAGAAGAGAAGAAAGCAGGCGTTCTGGAGTGGGACCCTGGCGGGTGGGCTCCCCCCGAGCTCTGTACAGCAAGGATATTTGTAACACCTGCCTCATTCCGTACTTGTGAGGATTAAAGATTGTCGCAAGGTGAAGCAGGATGAGTGCCAGGCTCACAGTAAGCACTGACTCAGCATTAATTATTGACTATTATTCTACTTGCTTTTCCTACCGCTCTGTACCAGGGCTTGTGTTTGTGGTCCACTGCAAGTTCTTCGATTGTTTCCCGGCCCAATTCCCCATTATAAGGGTATAATGAGGCACAGAGAAGTTATGTAACTTGTCCAGCGCCACATAGCTAGTCAATGATTGAGCTGAATTTGAATCCAGGTTAACTGGACTCCCAAGTCCCTGGTCTTTTCCTTCTGATTAGAGGGTGGGAGGGGAAAAGAAAACAGAGGCGTCTTGCTTGAGACAGATCACTAAATTTCTAAGGCTCCAGGTCCTTGTCATTAAGGTGGAGATAACAATGTACCTCTAGCCCAGGGCTTTGGTGAAATTAAGTGAGAAGACATTGAAGGCACTCAGCCCTGTGTCTGGAGCACACTTAATACTTGGGAA